AAGTGAGAACTCTGTCTCCAAAAAATAAAAAGAAAAGAAAAGAAAAACACTCCCCTTAGGTAAATCGTAATTAGGCTGGAACCATACATGCTGTAGAGACCAAATGCTGACTCTGGCTGTGCTTACTGTGAGCTCCTAGGCAATTTACATAAGCCCACTGTGCCTCAGCCAGCTTATCTGTAAAATGGACAGAATAGCTATTATATACTGCATAGGGCTGTGATAAGGCACAAATACTTTAACACAGATGTTCAACCTATGATATATGATATCATACACTCATATATCCATCTTAAGTTGAAAATAACACTTTCACACCATTGCAAAGTTGAAAAACACTAAGGTGAACTACTGTGAGTCAGGAACTGTCTGTATATTTAAAGTATTTGCTATTTTGCTAGATAGTACATAATATAATTGGCAGAGTATGATAAGCTTTCCATCACAAAGAGCGTGGGATACTTGTGGTACCTGGCAGACTAAATTGATAGGAGCACCCCCTCAACCCATAAACATACGTAATAAAATAGCATAAAGAATTTGAAGAATAAAATCGCCAGCTGTGCTATATTGATAGAAACCTAAAGAAAATTCCAAACTGAGGAAACATTAGCGTGCCAGTGTTGCCAAGCAAGCCACTCATTCCATTCACTTGTTCGTCACACACATAACACACCAGCACGTGCCACCTACTGTTCAGGGGCTGGCTACAATCAGGAAACAGAGCAAAATTCCTGCCCCTGGAGAGTTCATACCCCAGTGGGGGAGGCAATCAGCTACATACACACAGAGAGAAGACTGGTATGGTGACAAGGAGAGAAATACCGCAGGCTGGAGGGATGGTGAGAGTTGAGACAAGCTGAAACTTTAGAGAGGGTGAGGCACCAGAACAGGGCCCTGGCAGGGAAGAGGAAGCATGCTCAAAGGCTAACCGAGAAGATTAAAAAGAGATTGCTCACAAAGTGGGGAGAGTTTAATGAACTGACAGAGACGGCAGGCAGGACACAGCATGCTGGGATTGGGAGCTGGGCACAAGAGTGGAAGTCGCAGGATAGGGCCCTGGGCAGAGGGAGGAGCCAGCAGCACAGCTAAAGCACAGCCAGACTCAGGTCTCCTCCCATCTCGCCACCAGCCTCCTAACGGGGTCTCCCACTTGCTGAATCCAATCAGAAGTTTGAGGTCAAGGAAGCCCTAATACTGCAGGCCACAGCGCACAAAGAGGGGCAGAGAATGGGCGTGCAGGAGCAAATCAACGCAGGTGGCACTAGGCTTTCAACCTTAGTCTGAAGGCACCTTTGGAGGAAAGGCACAGGGAAGTAAGGGAGTGACCACCCTGGAGAAAAGCCTTCCAGAAGAGGAAGCAGCTTCTTCAAGGCTGGGGCAGAAGTATGACTGGCTTGGCTGAAGGACAGCAAGAAGGCCAGTGAGGCTAAAGCCAACAGTAGAACAAGGAAATCCGGACGGGAGGTGAAAGGGGAGCATGGGCTTTACAGGTCATTACAAGGACTCTGCCTTTCACTGCAGGTGAGATAATCTGGAAGCCACTGGATGTTTCCAGCAAAGGACATTGATCCACTGATATCTGAGAAGGGTCCCTGGACTGCAAGGGCAGGGGTGGAATCTGAGGGGCATCTGGGAGGCTGTTCTAACAGTCTAGGTGGGAGACAGTGGTACTCAGACCACGGTACAGCAGCGAAAGTGGTGATAAATGTGTCTACTCATGGTCTGGGATTTTGAGGAAACAGTTTTAAGCAGGTTGAAAAGAAGTGCTTTTCCTTTTAAGATTTTTTTTTCTTTTAGACAGCTGAAATCATTCTGATTTCTCTAACCAGGACTGGCTATACACAATTAGTAACATGCAATAAAGCATATGCACTCAAGTCCCCATGTAAAGTAACACAGCTTAATTGCTTTCCAAAAAAGATACATGTATCAATATCAGGAATACACTTTAAAACACTAAATCCCACTTCTAAGAATCTCAATCCTAAAGTAATAAATGCACAACACAATATTATTATGACATTATAATACTCAAAAACTGGATACTTCATAGGATAAATTTATGGCACAATGAATAGACAACGTGGCCTTCAGGAAGTCTTCCAAAAGTTTTGTTAGTTTGAGTGATTTTGTTTTTGCAGCTGGGCTTTTGATAAAGATAAAATAGTGGAGATTTTAATACTGCATTCTCTGCACCTTGAATTATGATGTTGCCAATGCCAGGGGCATAAGCTTTAGCATTCATTCAAGCAGGTAGGTTTAAGGTCTAACTCATGAAAAGTTAATGACATATATCAACAGAGGACATTTATGACCAAAGATGTGGTGGTTGGTCAAAGGTGTATATCAGGGTCATAGAAGAGAATAACTGAAAATAACACTGGAAAATTAGGTTGCGATTGGGCTATGAAAGTCCTTAAATGTGAGGATAAAAAGTTTTTATCTTCTTCTATAGTTATAAAAACCCCTAAAAGTACCTTTCTCTTCAACAGAAGAGAAATGACCCCAAAAGTACCTTTTTGCAGTGAATGTGGCAGCAGTAATGCAGTACTTCACAGAATTTGAAGTACAAGAGTTCCTTGAAGTCTTTTGATTCAACTCCCTCCAAGGACAGAATTCAGGGGGAGACGCAGAAGACGGGGACACTAAGGGGTCAGCTGCAGCAATAATCTGCACTTGAGGGGCCACACAGCTGAACTAGTACAGTAGGAACAAGAGGGAAAAGGATCTGGGTCTCAAAGTCAATTTTGTACTAAAATGTAAGACAATTAACAATTACAACCATAAGCTCTGGATTCCATCCACAAACATTTTAGTTTTTCATCTTGAGAAGCTATTGGAAGACTACGTAGGATATTTGAAGCAGAATGTGTATCTATTAGTTTCCTTTAATAAAACATACAGTACAAGATTATTCTGTGCAAACCCTGAGTAGGAGTAGACTCAGTTACCTTCAACTGTCCATTTCCACTCATGAAATTATCTTAACCCTATTTATTTACTATTCGTACAAAATGCAATTTTATTTATCTATACTGATTTCCTTTTAGAAAATGTTTATAATAATTGTGAATAAGTCCATTGAGTTGTATTGTAGATATATAGACTTAGTTGTCAGATCATAGCCAAACATCTCACCGTTTCCCAGATGGCACCGTCTAAAATGAAAAATCTCTTCTGTGGTAGCAAACAGTATGCACATCTCTAAGCAATGTTGATTTCTTTTTAGTTCCTCCAAGTTGGGTTGGATTAATTATCTGCTCAATCATTGCTGATACAGACATGGATACCATCACTATGACCAAGACACCACTTAGGGAATCTAAACCAAGAGATACAACTCAAAATTTAAAATGTTATGATATCAATACTATGCGCTAACCAACTGCGCCTCAGGAATACTAAGTTTAAAATATTCGTTATAGCTCTGATAGAATTTTCTGGTTTGGGCTCAGCGCTTGTAGCTCAAGCGGCTAAGGCGCCAGCCACATACACCTAAGGTGGTGGGTTCGAATCCCCAGCCCGGGCCCGCCAAACAACAATGATGGCTGCAACCAAAAAATGGCCAGGCGTTGTGGCAGGCGCCTGTAGTCCCAGCTACTTGGGAGGCTGAGGCAGGAGACTTGCTTGAGCCCAGGAGTTGGAGGTTGCTGTGAGCTGTGATGCCATAGCACTCTACCCAGGGGGATAGCTTGAGGCTCCGTCTCAAAAAAAAAAAAAAAAGAATTTTCTGGTTTGGTACAGGCTAAATGAATTAATCTTCATATGCCATCTCACTTTGGACTTTTTCTACATCTTTTAAATGTTGTTAATGTCTCTTCTTACTTTTGATGGCTCTTGGTGAAGATGTTTTAATGGGCACAGATACATAACTTTGAATATACTAAAAACCACTGAGCTGTACATTTTACATTAGTGAATTTGTTAGGTGAATTATATCTAATGAGGCTTTTATTATTTTAAAAGTCCATTGAGAATGAATAATGCTAAGCAATACAGTATTCTAACCTGCAATTAATAATCAAAATGACTTAACTGTTGTCCTTCCCAAAGCTATCACTGCATATAAACACTGAAGTGAGAAGACTCCCTTAGACGCACGTGGACAGATACACACGTACAGGACATTTATGCTTAGTTTACTCTAATAATATCATGTCTCCACAATCTCTGTGAACACATAAACTGAACCTAGAAGTCCACTGAGGCAAACACTAGCACATGATTAAAGTAACAGTTTATCATAAATTCAGATAACTAAAGCAATTATACTTCAGGGGAGTCATTCACATACACATCATGACCGAAGTCTACAACAACTGTTAGAGTTAAAGGTCAAAGAAATACGATAATCTTTTAAATTTACCGAAGAATAAACAATTTTTTCTCAATTTTCTTAAGTTAGATTTTTAGGTCATTTATGGTCAACTCTTGATAATTCAGAATTATTGGAGAGTAAAGACATAAAAAGTTACTACTGAAAGGAAAAGTCATAATAAAATAGATACAATCATGTATAGAATCATTAAAGGCCAGGGCCTGAAAATAACCAACCCCTTTATTTTATGGATGAGAGAACTGAGGCTCAGAGAAGTTAAGGGTACTGATCAAAGTAATGACCAGTTGTGGGCAGAGCAGGGATACAAGTCGAAGGCAGTTTGACTCCAAAACCCAGAAGGGATTTGTAAGCAGAACTCTCATTATGTAGCCAGAATCAGTTTACAGACCAAAAACATTAACTTTAAATTTGTGTTTCTTCTTAAGGAATAAAAACATTATCTTAATCTATAATGCAAGCCTCCTCGGTGATTATTAATTTTAAATAAGCCTTTTAACATTTTAAAACGGTTTTATCAAGTATACTTCTAAATTTAAATTCAAAATCAAAAATAATCTGAAATATACAGTCAAACAAAACTACAAAGGGTGGATACCTATGGTAACAAGTTGTATTAAAGAGTGATTTTTGGGGAATAGTGTTTTTATCTTTTTTTTACCTTTAGCCATGTCACATTCCTTAATCATTTTGAGAAAGTTGGAAATTTCCCTATCTAGTCTCTGTTGGCATGACTGTGCTTTCTGGAAAAAAAAAAAAAAAGACAAAATTAAACTAAAAAAAGAGTTTTTTACTTGATGTTTTAATGTTTCTATTAAAACTTTCAGCTTATAAATTAATGTACTATAATAATTCAGACATATTCTTTATAGAGAAAAAGAAAAAATTTTCCTTGGAAACTAAATATAACATTTCAATCAAGTATAGATTAGTAAAAATAAATATTTCTAAATTCTAAATACATTCAACATCTGTTGTGTAGATACCGTATAATTGAATTAATCACTACCTCCTCATCATACAATGTATATCTGATGAATTATATTTCTGATTTATTAAGACTTTTAGTAGGCCTAATTAAAATTCATCAAGAAATTATAAAATATGGTCCTTAAGAATATATTTTAAAAAATGTTTTTGCTTAAAAAAAAATCCCAGATGGTCCTAACATTTGGAAACCACAAGCTGATTCTCATTCAACAATCTAAGTATACAGCGCCCACATAATCACCAAAAAGGACATTTTCTTAGTAAGTCAAAGTTTATAAAAATAAGGTAAAGTCAATTATAGAAAGTATTCTTCCTTGTAACTTAAAAGTTCTATACTTCTAGATCCCTAAAAGAAAAGCATAAATACAGATTTTTATGATATAAGTTAATCCCATCTTAATGCAGATTTGGAAGTCCAAAATGAAAAACAGATCAATCCATTTAGTAAAAAACAAGGTCATTTTAAGTTAATTTTATATATAGTTTCCCATTAAAAAAACCCAGAAAATTATAATTGCAAATTTGCTCTTGGTTATCACAATAGAAATATTTATTCTTAGAACTGTAATCTTATTAGAATCCCATTGTTGTAAGTAGAGTAATATATTTAGTCTTCTGAAGATGCCTTACTTCATACTCCTAAGCTCAACTGGCCCATCAGAAAACATTCTGCTTCCCTCAAATTGAACCTACGATAGCCCAGTGTGCAAAGGTGACAGAGGTAAGCATTCTTCACTCCTATTTCACCTTATAAATTTCTTTTCCTTTTTTTTTTGGAGATAGATTCTCACTCTGTCACCCTGGGTAGCAACTTCAAACTCTTGGGCTCAAGCTATCCTCTTGCCTCAACCTCCCAAGTACCTGGACTATAGGTGCCTGCCACAACACCTGCCTACTTTTTCTATTTTTAGTAGAAACAGAGTCTCACTCTTGCCCTGGCTGGTCCCAAATGTCTGAGCTGAAACACTCTACCCAACTCAGCCTCCCAGAGTGCTAAGATTACAGGTGTGAGCCACCACGCCTGGCTCACCTTATAAATTTCTTAGTGCTTATAAAGCTCAATTCAACCATAGTAGAAGAATTTATTCATATTAGCATATTAGAGACAGGAATGTTCTGTTTTGAACCTGCATTACTCTTTTTGTTTTGAGAGTTCTAATAACACTTATTTTTTTTTTTTCTTGAGAAGCAGAATACCGACACTATGCAATTTAAAATGCAATAGAAAAACAAATGGTATGCTTGGTAATTTTTTCAGACATAGCCTGGTAATGCAGGTTGAAGGAAGGGAAAAGTCAATCTGGAGGCACTGACACATGCGCTGCGACCAAATGCATCCCTTATGATTTATTAACAGAAAATGCCATTCTTATTCTATAATTTAATACTCCTGCTCATGTACAAGTTAACACTACTGTTTTCTCTTTTCCTCTCTATGGTGAAAGTTAGACAGAAACATAAAAGTAAGCACTGGCCTCATCTGCAGACTGTCTTATCTGTAATAAACAGGATGGTTCCTGAAGTTATAACCAAAGGCAGGGAACATCTCCCTACCAGGATGTCCAAACACTTGAACCACAGTCATCTTCCCTTAGCTTATCTACCTGGCAGTTACTAATAAGAGTTTCCTTGATTGATAATTTACTTGTTTTAAAAGGTACCTAAAAGGTCAGCTGGATAAGATTCAATCTACTCATACTGTTTTAAGTTGGGTACAGTGTGTGTCTTCAGTCCTTAACAGTTTAGTGTCATTGATACTAAAAAGAACAGAGAGAGGTTATTAATACAATAAAACAGCACATTCTTCAATTTGTGATAATTTCCCCTTAGCAGTCCCTGGTTATATTTTGAAACTAAAGCTCTATTTCTGACACCTAATTCTTACAAATTTTTTGCAGAGTCAACATGCTGTCTCATTCCTGCCAGTCACATTATGTTAGGGTCTTTTAAAGTACTAACTTCTATTTATTTACTCCACATAAATGGGATCCCACTATGAACAATGTTCAAATACCTGAAGGCTGACAGCGTTTTAACTTTGCTTAAGTTACATGGGCAAAGCACACCAGAATGAGGAGTCCACCACTGACAGGGGCCCCCGGGGACTGGGAGGCACCCCACCCAGTGAGGAGCTGAGCCACACTCACAACACAGGCCTCCAGTTCAGACTATTGATTTTAGCAGCTAATTCTGTGTGACCCAAGCGGATGTTAAACTACCTATGATCCCTGACCTAGAGGACAGCCCAAAACCCGGTATCAAGGGGGTGAACAGCTAGAGAGGAACAGGAATTGATTCCAGGGTATTTCCTACAGAAAATCCAAATTTAATCCATGAAGAACAGAAGCAGGTTACCTCCTCCTCAGCAATAAAAAGGAAGAAATCACTAACATATACATTATGGTGAGTGAAAAAGTCACCAAAGAGCACATACTGTATGATTCCATTTACATGGAATTCTAGAACAGGAAAGCTGACAATGCCCATCATGACACTGTCATTCCATCACGTCACTAGCTAGTGGCTGTCCACTGGGAGAGGAGCAAGGGACCTTTCTGAGGGGATAAAAATGGTCTGTATCTTGAGAACAGTAGTAGTTACACAGGGTAACGTTTGTCAGAATACATCAAAGTCAAGACAAAATGAATTTGGTTTATTGTATAAAAATTACACCTCAGTAAAAATAATTCAAACTTTTAAATATTAGATTTTAGGAAACTGACAACTTTTTTCTCTGCAAGATTCCTTTCTCCAGTCTTCCCAATTCCAATAAAGTCCAAATTTCAAGGAAAATCCATATCCCATCTTTCTTAAGTCAACACAGCAGTTTATTCTTTCTGACACCTGATGATCAATATGACCCTGCTCTGTAATTCTCTTAATGTTTTACTTTGCAATATATATTTACATAAAGTAAAAATACTAAATAAAAGGGCTAGGCACAGTAGCTCTTGCCTATAATCCCAGCACTTTGGGAGACAAAGCAAGCAGGATCACTTGAGGCCAGCAGCTCCAGACCAGCCTAGGAATATCATGTGAGGCCAGTTATCTGAGATTGCAGTGAGCTGTGATGACACCCCTGCACTCCAGCCTGGGTGACAGTGAGACCTCATCTCTAAAAAATTAAAACATTTAAAAAAAAAAAGAAGGCTATACAGAGGAAAGTAATTCTACTTCACATACCTGTCACTCCTAAAGCCTCTGTGTTGTGCTTTCCCCAGCACCAAAGCAACAAGTACTAATCTCTCCGCTTTCCCAGGATGATCTAAGTCTACACAGGATGTGAGTATACATCACCTACTTTTTCTCCCAAGTAGTAGCATATTCAATGCGTCATTTACACCTTGCCCTTTTCACTTAACTGTAAGTCTAAAATATATCGGTATATATAAATTTGCCTCAGTTTTGCCTGAATGTGCCAATCCTTACCAGCTGTGTGTTGATGTACATGTATTTTTCTGCACATTTATTTTTGCTAGGAGTCAGTGATTCCTAAATCAGGAAAGTTTTATATTACTTTCTCATTTGACTAATCTTTAGCATCATCTGTATCTGAACTAGATACAATTCAGATCCCCACTGGCTCAAGATATTCTCAACAAATAAACCCCCCCTTTGCCAGTACTACCCAGTGCTGCCCAATACAACTTTCTACAATGTCAGAAACATTCTATGTCTGTGCTGTCCCATGTGGCAGGCGCGTGTAGCTAATGAGCACTCGAAATCAAGCTTGTTAAAATGAGAAACTGAATTTTCAATTTAATTTTAATTAAGTTAGTTGTAACTAGCCACATGCGGCTAGTAGCTGTTACATTGGACAGTGCCGTTCAATGTTAATACCATGCTTGACTTTCTCTTCCCACAACAACCATGAGGGCAGTATTTACAGGACTTATCTCGTACTTTTCTCCCTGAAGGCCTAACCTCAAGGCAGTGATAGAGAGCTAAGAGGAATGTTTAAAGTTTTTCAGGGGCCCTTATTTTAAAGGGAGGTAAAATAAACTAAAATTATTGCATATGGTCACTTTTTCAGTATGGACGGTCCCCCAGGTCCCCCCCTCCTTTTTTTCCCTTTCTTTCTTTTTTTTTTTTTTATTTTTGAGACAAAGTCTTACTTTGCTGCCTTCAATGAAGTGCTGTAGCATCATAGCTCACAGCAATCTCAAACTCTTGCGGTTAAGCAATCCTCTTGCCTCAGTCTCCCGAGTAGCTGGGATTACAGGTACCCACCACAATGCCTGGCTATTTTTTTTGAAGACAGACTCTTGTCTTGAACTCCTGAGCTCAGGCAATCCACCTACCTCAGCCTCCCAGAGTTCTAGGATTACTGGCATGAACCACATCTGGCCTCTTCTTTCTTTTTTTCTTTCTTTTTTTTTTTAAAGAGAGTCTTACTATATTGTCTGGCTAGACTCAAACCCCTAGGCTGAAACGACACCCCCATCTCAGCCTCCTGAGCTGAGACCATAGCACACACCACTGTGACCAGCTTTCCCCAAATTCTTACAGGTCTAGTACTAATCTGAAAGCATTTTGACGAGAAAAGATACAGTTTTGTGGTTAATTCAGAGGATTTTAGAGTATTTCAATCCTATAGATACCAAGACTAGATTTGTTCCACATATTGGCCTCCAAATTTCATTGGAACTTAACTCAAGGATCAAGGGCATCCTGGAGCAGTCTACCACAAGCTGCAATTCAACACATTTCAAAGGTCATTTCAGACTCCACCTATCTGAACTAGCCTCCAGATGTTGAGGCAGAATCAAGACTCACAGAGTTAGCATTCAGACTCTGTTAGACAGAGTCATGTCTATAACCTGCAAAATCTGCTTAACCCTGACTAAAACTTTCTCTGACTTCAGGTGCTATAAAATCTGGAAAACAAAAACTTCATGGTTTTAAAGTTAACATGTGAATGATATATTCAAATAAGGGATGATTTGAAAGGCACAGTAGAGGTTAATAACCTGAAATGAAAAACATTTGAAAGTTTTTCAATGGTAGGCAAGTTAATATGCTTTTATTATTAATAAAATGTTAAAATGACCATGATCACAAGAAAGGTATTAGTATGCTTTCTAAGGCCTTCCAGGTTTATTTCCATTTATTTTATATTGAGAGCAGATATAGTAAGTAGGGAAGATTTCTTTTCACTTGGGAAATATTGAGTAAAAGTTAAAATATTTAGTATTTCACTTGTTCATATTTTATAAGTTCATATTTTACTTGTTTAACATAATTTTGGTCATATGTTTTCAAACTTTCCCTGTTTTCCCAAAGAGTTCTAATGGTGTTTAGATGCTTTGGTAGGCATGACTTTTACCAAGTTTATTAATCTGAAAATTATGTTTATAGTTCTTACATATTAGGCTTTTAAACAGAAGTAATACTGATAAAGCAACTATCAACAAATTCTGAGGAATGTTCTTAAGACAAAATAGGAGATCTCAAATTCTTCACTGTTCCATCATAAATTAAGATGAGGGATTGACAGTCAAATTCCCTCTTATATTTAAATGTATGGGCCCTTGAGTCAAAAAAATTCCACAGATATTAGCAAACTTAAGCTCATTAAAGTTAATTAGAAACATTCAGTCTTGCAACTAATCTATTTTTAAAGGATTAAATTTAGTAGGCAAATTCATATATCTTGATATAATAATTTGGATTGAAACTAATCATCCTTTTATAGTGCTAAGTTTTCCAAACCCAATTCGCATGCATTTACATATAAAGAAAGTGCATATAAAAGACAGAGGCAGACATAGAGTGGTGTGATGGACACTGGAGACTCAAAAGGGGAGAGGGAGGAAAAACTACCTATGGAGTACTATGTGCACTACTAAGGTGCTGGGAGCACCAGAAGCCCAGACTCCACCACTGTACAATATACACATGTAATATATACATGTAACAGAACTCAACTTGTACCCGCTAAATATAGTAAAAATATTTTAAAGGAAAGAAAAAAAGATACAGCCAGAAACTGATGCCCATTTTTCTGGGCAAAAAAAGTAATAACTATTTCATTCCAATTACATATGCTAATATACCTCTACGGGTAAAGCCTTGATGTTACTTCAGATGAGAGCCTCTCCATTCATTATTGACGCTTTACCTTACCTCTTAGCAATGAAGTTATAGATTACAAGTAGTTAAATGAAAACTACTGACCAAGAAGGTATCACTATGGTTGCATTATTTAAACTATGAAATATGCAGTGAAGTCACAAAGGGCAGGAAGTCAAGCTCTGCACACTTCCCCTACTGGCAGCAGCTTTCAAACAGAACGACAATCTGATTACAGCAATGTAAAAAGTTAATGTTTAGGCACATGTAGGTATTGCTAGAGCACATCTACAAAGCTATCTGCTAGTATTGCCATGACAGAGACAGTGTAAATACCAATAGAATATGACTGAACAAAGAGCAATACTATTCTTATTGTCAGAAACTGTCGCTTCAAAATCTCCCATCTTAAAAAAAAGTCGTAATAAACCAGTGTGACAGAGTTAGCGATAAAGGCCAGGTTACCTATTCCTATTTACCTCTAAGGATTTCTTCAAGTCTACAGCAGAAACTGCATCTTCCTCCTCATCATCGGTCAACTGGTCCTGGGAACAGTAGTGAGTGCTGTAAGCAGAATGTTCTTCTATTGCTTCCAGCCAATTCTGAAATAATCCAAGGATTTAAATAAAATAAAAGCATTGTTATTCCAAAGAGATAATATGATAATGATCTGGGAAGCATAAAACTTAAATAAAAGCAACCAACAATGAAATAATAATACAGGTTTCTGGTCTGCAATATGTCTAGGTAAAAAAATTTTCCCAGTACTTTAAAAAATATCATCTGTAAGTTTACATGTTTATTAATATTAATACTCAAATTAAGTTATAGAAATTAAGTCATGGATGAATTTTTTTTCACTTAACATTATACATTCTCAACATGTTTGAATGGGTTATAATACAGTAATGGATCCAGACACAGGATTTTGCTAACTTGAAATCAAAATATAAGTATAAGAAATTCAGATCATATCAAGGTGGCCAACAATTGCCCTGATGTTTTAACTTTTGCTGTATATTTTTTAAATCAGAGATTTCACAAAAAGAATGTTTGGCCTAAAAATACCCATCTTACTGCTATCTCTTTTCCTTATAGCATTATTCAGGATCGAATCTTAACATTTTATGAAATGTTGGGACAGTCATGGGTTAGACTGTTAAGGTTCTTTGCAGGGATAAAGTTAACCACTTTGGAAACTTGATTTTTTAAACCCTTCCATGGTTTATTTAAACATACACGCACAGGACAAGATAGATCTATGGATAATGCTTTGATTTAAAGGAATATGGATTCTCCATTAAATAACAGTAACGTGAATTTTGGTCAAGTGAATCCCAATTTTCTTGCTGCTATTGTTCAATTTACCAGTATAGTGGCTGTCTGTACTGTAATAAGCATCAGAACACCTCGACTATAGTCAGGTTCTATCACAAGCTGCACAGCCTTGGGAAATCACTTTAGTCTTAAAATCATTAGTTTCATAATCTATAAATTAAGGGGTAAAGTAAGTAATCATTTATTCTCAGAGAATGCCCCTCATATTCACAAATTCAAAAACAAATTGTAAACAGAGAACATCTGTAGGTAAATGTTCATAAAGAACCAATTTATAAGCCAAATTACAAAGCTTTATATAATTGCTCCCATTAAAAAAGTATAACCAGAACTAGGTATGGTGGCTCATGTCTATAATCCCAGCACTTTGGGAGGCTAAGCCAAGAGGATCGCCACTTGAGACCAAGACTTCAAGACCAATCTGAGCAACATAGGAAGACTCTGTCTCTATAAAAAATAGAAAAATTAACTGAATATGGTGGTGCACACTTGTAGTCCCAGCTACTTGGGAGACTGAAGTAGGAGGATCGCTTGAGCCAGGAGTGTGCAGTGAGCTATGATGAGGCCACTGCACTCCTGTACTCTAGACCAGGCAATAGAGTGAGACCCTGTCTCCAAAAAAAAAGGTGCCATCAACAAGATCTTAATTGTTAATACCAAACCTATGTCACATTCTTCATGTCTTTAAATGTTCTTAAATTTTTATGACAGATAAATGAATCCATAAGATTACCTCTCTTGACTGTTGTTGAAGGCTATTCTTAGGAACCCTGAAGCCATGAATAGTGTCATCAAAGCATTTAATAAAGAAGAGGCAGCTGTCCGTGGACTTTACCTTGGATATAAAGAAGTCAGCAAGACAACAACATTCAGTCACATAAAAAAGACCCTAAAATTATCTACAAATAAAATTATAGTAGTAACCTAACTTAATGATACCCAATCGAACATTTAAAATATTGATTGATAAGAACTGATCACAGCAGGACTGTCAAGTACATTGTGGCTTACCCATGTCAAATCTGGCTTCCACATTATTAGTTACTCAATGTAAATTCAAATAGTTCATTAGGTATACAGTTTTAGTTTCACCCTTCTGTTTACCAACGGTATAGTTTAGCATGCACTGGGGCTGTAAAATTCCTTAAATACCACAGATCCAATATTTTATGCAGACCACTCTTCTCAACTTGTTCCTTTTTTTTTTTTTTTAGGGGAGATAAGGTTGATGAACAGGAAATGGGAAAGAGAACCAGTAATAATTTTTTTTAAATAAAAATTTACAAAGAAAGGGGGTTTTAAAAAAATGCTGGATTCAAAACAAAAAGCAACCACACAAAGAAACTGAGAAGTAAACAAAAGTAAACAGATTGATGGGGAGTGAACACTGGAGGAAGGGGAATAAGGATGGGAAATACGTTCCCATCCCCAATATTTTGCTCAGCACAGCAATAAGCACACACATGGAGAAACCAATCTGTTTGTCTTTGGGAACTAATAAAAAGCTGGGGGGCCATAAACACTAAAGAGAAAAGGGGAATCCCCCATGGGAAAGAGCTAGAGAAGGTCTCTGCAAATTCTGTCTACTACTCACATCTGTAACCTGATCCAGGGGCTGCTGCTCACTTTAACACAACCTAACTTGAACTGTGACCAGAGCTGCCACCCAACACACAGAATTTAAAGCCCAAACCAAATTGAGAAAATAACTAGCTACAATGAACAAAATAACATTTAACAGAAAAAAATAACAGAATCCAGAGTCTATAGAACTTAACATTCATAATATTAAAGATGCAATCCAAGATTACTTGACATATGAAAACAAAGAGAAATTTAACTGAAAAGCAGAAATAGAATGGGTATACTGTCTATGAGAGTGAGAAAATAAAGATACAGATTGGTTGAAAATAAGTAAATAGAAAAAGAGCATGCAAATAATAAGCATTGGAAAGATGAAATGGTTATATTAATATCAGACAAAATAGATTTTAAAACAAAATCTATTATAAGAGACAATCATACAAGGATCCAGGAAAACACAATTCCATAAAGCATAGTTAGAAACCCTCACACTTCTCTCAGGAAATGATACAAGTAGCCAAAAACCAGAAGAGACAAAAATATGAACAGTATTAACCAGCATGACTGAATTAATATTGACAGGACACTATGCTCAACAATAGCAAAATACACATCATTTTCCAGTGCATTTAGTAGGCTAATCCATAAGCAGAGCCACCACCAACCCTGCATAAAATCTGACAAATGGAAATCACATCATTCAGTGACCAAAATGAAATTACGGTAAGAATCAGAAAACACGGTAACTGAGAAGACACCAATTATTTGGGATTTAAAACAGCATACTTCTGAATATTCTTTATTTCAAAGAAGAACTAACAGAAATTCGAAACTATCTGGAATTGAATGATAATGAAATGTGATACAGCAAAATTGGACGCTTGAAACAAAAACAGCTACAAAGCAGAAGGTAGAGCTGAATAAAGAAAACAGCTCTCAACCAATAATGTAAGCTTCTACATTAAGAAACAATAAAAGAGAATAAAATCCAAAACAGTGAAAAATATTTAAGAAAAAATATAGGAAACAGAAAAGCAATAGTGAAAATTCAATGAAAATGAAACATTATTTGAAAAGATCAATCAAACTGATAATCTGCTAGCTGGACTGATCTAGAAAAACAGAGAGAAGATGCAAATTATAGAAAAGGGGAAAGAGAATATAACCCTACCTAACGTACAAACATTAAAAAGATAGTAAGGGGCCAGTACTCACAGCAAGTTTTATAAATGAAAGAAAACTTCTTGAAAGGCAAAAATTACCAAAAGCAAACCCAAAGGAAATAAAAAATTCGATTACCTCTACAGCAAATAAAGAAATTAAATTGATGATTATAACCCTTCCCACAAAGAAAACTCCTGGTTCTTATGGTTTTACCAGTGAATTCTGCCAAGTATTTATGGAAGAAATAAACCTACAGAAACTATTACAGAAAATGGAAGAGGAAGGAATACTTACCAGGTCATGATATTAAGCCAGTTATCACTGATTCATAAACCCAACAAAAACATGGCAAGAAAAAAACTACAAACCAATATCCATTCTGAACACAGATACAAAAATCCTTTTTTGGGGTGGGGGGCAGGGCTGGGTTTGAACCTGCAAACTCCGGCCTATGGGGCTGGCACCTTATTCCTTTGAGCCACAGGCCGCCACCCAGATACAAAAATCCTTAACAAAATATTAGGAAATAACATATTAAAAGGGTAACATATCATGTGCAAGTGGGATTTATCTCAATAATATTAGTTTATTAACACCCTAAAGTCTATCAATGCAATTCAACATATTAACAGGATAAATGAGAAAAAACATATGTATGTTTTAATAATGTGGAAAAAGTATTTGGCAAAATTCAATAGGTTTTCATGAGGAAATCTCTCAGTGAACCAGGAAATGAAAATAACTTTAGCAACTAGGTTAAGAGTTTGAGTTCTTGTCTGTTGGCAAAAGGCATAAGGATGGGAAGGAAACGTAACAATCTTTATTTACAGACAGCATGGTTTGTATATGAAGGAGACCCCCTAAGAAGCCTACAAAATAGTTACCAGATCTATTAAGTGAAGTTAGCAAGACTCTAGGACATTAGGTAAATACCCCCCCAAAAAACCTCATTTAAATGCAGAGAGTGTCAAATATGTGTGTGTGTGTGTATATATATGTATACATACACTTTAAGAAAGGAAAAAAACTATTAAAATTGTAATATTTGATATATACCAGTAACATGTGTTACCTTGTATAGTGTAGCTTGTATCTCTTATAGAAGGCAAACCTGACTTGAGTATTACAATTTTTAAAACCATTTTTTTCTCTCTTAAAATGTGTATATATATTTGATACCCTCTGTATGTTAGCTGAAAAAAAAATCAGGAAATGAAAAATTTATAAGTCCATTTATAAGCTTCAAAAATAACATAATAATTCAACAAAAAAGTATAAAACATTGCCAAAGGAAATTAAGGAGGACTTCATTTTTTTTTTTTTGAGATAAAGTCTCACTATGTCACCCTCAGGAGAGTGCTGTGGTGTCACAGCTCACAGCAACCTCAAACTCTTGGGCTTAAGAGGTTCTCTTGCCTCAGCCTCCCAAGTAGCTGGGACTACAGTCGCTCACCACAACACCCGGCTGTTTAAAGATTTCAATAATGGAGAAATGTGCAATGTTCATAGCTTGGAGG